AACAATGAAAACGTCGAAATGTCGTTATTTTCTGAAATTAAAACCGACTATAAATTCAAAATAAACAGTTCAAAAGATTCGAACCAATATCTCGATCGTTTCTTGTGAGTTTTGGAATTTTTCGTTTGGAAATAAGACCAAAATTCACGATTTAAATGTTGAAGTGAACAAAATGGCGGCTGTTTGAATTCGAATTTTGTATTACGACATACCCATATATGGGACAGAATATCGGTGGTGCACTCTGGGAGCCAATCCTCCTTGCCTTGGCATTCCAAAAGTTTTGTGGCGCCATTTTTGAATCAAAAAATGAATGCCGAGTTGTTGCCATTCCAAAGCCAAAGAAATCATTTCAATGGAACTAAAAGAATACGTATATACCACCCATAATAAAGAACGATTTCAATAGAATATTAACGCCGGCATTTTCGGAATTGCTTTTTAGGCCGTAAGAATTAGATTCTTTGTTTTGCGTCTCCTTGCTTGCACGATTTTGAATAAATCAGAAAAAACAAACACATCCAAATAGCAACCACAAGGGTCTGAAAGTAACATCGCATTTTATTCAATCAGAATCAGACAAATTGGAGGATAAATTGATGAGCGTCAAAATTGACAGTGTTATTGATTACTTTGGCATACATTGTGTATTTTCTTATTTTTACCCTTGAATAACATCTATATTTAAATATATTGTATAAAATGTACAGATCTGTGTTTGTATCACTGCAAATTGGTATGTCATCCCTTTTAATGCCCATAAAATGTATACAGCAAACAAGTTTGTGTTTTTTCTTGAGTTTGTGTTTGTTTTCCTTGTACCCTTGCATGATTTGGATTTTGCCGGGACGCAAAACAGAGAATCTAATTCTTATAGCCTTACCTATCTAGACATGGAATGCGGGTTAGATTTATTCTTTATTTACACTTGAAACAATCTGGGATTCGTGACTTTTTAACTTTTATAAGGTCTAGCGCTAAATGCAAACAGAGAATGCTAATTATATCAGGCGAATGCAAACTATTTGAATAAAACATAATAAAATTAATTCAACCAATCCATCTTGAATTTCCAAGAATGCAATGGTTTAATTTGCTAGTCTCATTACAAAAATACGTGTTCGTACTTTAATATTCATTGCATTTATGTTTATCTTTAACACAGGTATTCAAAGAAATTAAGATTTTAAAATTAAATTTTAAAACTGTATTCAATTACTATCATGGATTCTTAGCCTCACGTCACATTTTTACGGGGACCGTACGGTCTATCATTTCTGTGGTAAGTAGGATTTCTACGGTTGCCTAAGTATTTCTCCAGTCAGATAATTTAGCAGTCACATTTGCTAAGATAGCCGTACGGCGTATCTTGATTATGAGGAAAAACTACGATTACCATACGGCTGATAAATGATGACGCACGATCAGCGTAGGGCGGCCCTACGACGTGCGTAATTTTTCTTGAAGGCATCCACAAGGGGTTCTATGGTTCGGAAAGGTTAATTGTAACCTATGAAATCCAAGCGCAGTCGCAAGTCGACCGTGAACCCGACGTATGGCCGTCGTGAGACCTAGGTCTTGTTGATATCTATGGTGACCAAAGGAAAGAAAAAGTTATAACTCCGACTCTACGCCTTGTAAAAACTGGATATGTCGTGTACGTAGACAGCAAGGTGACCTTAAGTCGACTGTAGTTTCCCTATGTTTTTTTACTGATTTCAGGGAAATACGATCGATGTGTGGTCGCATTGAACAAATGTGACTGGAGGTTTTAAAGTTCCACTTATTTTCCGATATAGAAAAACAAAAGATTGTATGCCATTAAATTGAAAATCATTATTACGAAAATACTGTAGAACTGTACTTACCACGGATGTTATATAATTAAATTCGAGCTCGAAATCAGGAATTGTTTTTAAAAATAAATATGTAATAAAATAAATATTAAACTATTGGCGTACTATCAATACGACAGTCGTTGAATTGAAATATCATACTACAATCGACCCCATCGTCTCCCCGCATCACTGAATGTTATGAGCTTTCTCTTGTCATGATCCAAGGTGAAATACCATTGAATTTTGAAAAGCTTTTTTTGTCATATTGAATGTCGCTACGGTGATATGATGATTGAAATTGTTCGTTTAACAACTGAGAAAAATTAAACATTACGTATTATTCTTTGAAAATATGACAGTGGCATGTCCTTGTGTTACGTATCGTAACTGTCGCTTCGGGATCTTGTGGTCCTTCGGTACTCGCAGGGTTCCTGATTACCTAATTGAACACGACTCCTTTGTTTTGTTTCTTAATTTTATTTCAAATTCCAATTCTTCTTGAGATTGATCCGGCCAGCAGAGTTTCGGTAGATTCGCTTGTTATTGTTTCTCCTTTCATCAATTGTTGAGCATCGTTGTGAGTGAGTAAAACTTACTGAATCAACAGATCTTGCTGTGCTCTTTATATACTAGGTAAAATACATTATTTTACCTGTCAAAATCGTGCAAATGTAAGTAAGAATATTGCTGATTTCATGCTTATGTAAGCAAGATTCAAATCATAATTCTGAGTTGTGATTGGTTGTTGAAAGTTTTAACTTGTCAGAATTCATTGATATATCTTCGTTTTGGCTGAATATAGTAGCGTAGGGATTCCCCTGCACTAAAGCAAACTGAGGTCTAAATAGTCATTAATCATAAGAAAGCAGCAAGATCTTTACAATGTTTGAATATGCTGAATATAAATGGTATTTTATACCGGATAATAAATAATAAATAAATAATAAAGTAATTATATATAATTAAATATAATTACGTACTGACCGAATCATAACACTTGTAGAGCAATTGCCAATCTTAATATTTAGGAGATTGACATTTACATACGTATCATTTAGACGACATCGATTTTTCGTTTTTTTGTTTGCGTTTTTCATCAGCATTTAAATGGCTAAACACTTTAGGGAGTTACTGTTTCATAGGATTACTACTTTTTGTTTTATTTCTTTCATTCTCCAATATGCACCTATTCATATTTGAATAGAATACTACAGATTGAAGAAATCTACCATTTATGATTAGGTAAGAAAGCAATTGCGGTATGCCTATTTGCCGACGTAAACCTTAAGGTTAATAGTGATGTGCCGTAAATGCTCATCAGCGCATTAATGAACATTAGCATAGATTTTGATATTTTAAATGGTATGTAGTGTATTTACATAAATATGGTAAATGCAACTATTTGTTGGATTGGTTCAGCTGATGATATAACTTACTTATTTTCACCACAAATACGCCAACACATTAGCCACATTTATCTTAATAAATCCCCATTGATGCACAGTAATGCATTTATGTGTAAATGCCATTTGTATATTTTAATGCATTTACCTCATTTATTGGTTAAATATACAAGAAAGCATTTACAGGATTTGAACAGATTTATCCTTTTTGACCCAGTGTTATCATTATATAAAATAATTCTAGTGGATATTTTTCAAGTGGAATATAATGCGATGACTTCTGAATCGCGCAGCCGATATCTCGTAAGTTTAGTGATTTTTCTACCTAGCCTATAAACTTACTATATCACATTGGAGAAAATAAATACAAACATTTGAAAAAAGACATTGCAACAATTCAATTTCTATGAAGAATATACTGAAACAACTTTTTCAAATATATGATATGATATGGACATGAACATGCGGCAACAATGTTAAGCGGACAGAAATAGTTATAAAATATCAGTGAAATGTGTTATATTTCTGCGATCCGAGTATGACGTGATTATATAGCGACATTTCCGAGGCATCAATTTTAAGGCATCAATGACGTCATTGATACATAACAATGGCGGCATCCGCAGCGATCCAGATATGGGTACTTTGAACTTGAATTATATGTTAGTTCAAACACGATATGTCCCATGAGTGAGCTGAAGTGATAGATGATGGTTATAAGTAGCCAGCGTGTAAATTAGAACATGAAACTTCGCATTCCCTTTAATACATGCATGAATTGGCTCATATTATCACATCTCGTAGAGAAAGGTCTAACATTTTTGTTGATGCCATAAATTGTTTTCAGTCTTGAATTTTGAAGAGATTACAAGACTTAAACAAACACATCACGCATCAATTTAGCGTGTATGATCAAATATCACGCAAATCACGCATTTTGTTGATAATTTTAAATGGGTGTCGACTTTTGGCAATCAACCGAAGATACCTCAAGAAAAGCCGGAGATTATCGAAGATTGCCGAAGCTTTTCTTTGCAAACGAAGTTGGCCGAGGGTACCACGAATGTGAAGAGGACGTCTCTAATTGGTCAAAAATAGAGGCTCGGCATTCTCCGTCAGATTGAATCGGCAAAATTCGGTTGTATGGCTTACCTTCGGTTGTATGGCTTACCTTCGGCTGCATGGCCCAACATCGATTGATTGGAAAAGATGCTGTCCCAATTTTAAATATCGTTTTTTGTGAAATGCCGACAAAGTAAAATACCGAACGGCGAAAAAAGCGAACGCATTCCGTTCGGTCTTTGCACGCGATTGCCGTTTATGTCACGCATTTGGTACAAAATATGTGTATATATCACGCATTTGTTTAAATATGTGTATATATCACGCATTTGTTTCGAAAATATTTACACCTACCCCTATGTATTAGGTTTTTCAGATAGCAGCTAAAATGATTTCCACAGGAAGATTGTTGAAGTGTTGAAGAATCGCAAATGTTGAAGTTCACATTTTATCGATTTTCAATATAATTTCTGCAAATTTCAAGACTTCGAAAAATGAATGGTAGCAACAAAAAAGTTCAGACCTTACTCTACAACATGTAAACATATGAAAGGATTCCTGCAGGTAATAAGGGAAATATAGCCTGTTGCAACAGTTCACTTTTTTTGAACCATCCTATATATTTGCCAAGTTGAATCTAGCTTCACATATCAATCTTTTTCATACTCATTTTGATCATTTCATATAATTTAAACAGGTATACAATGATTGGCATTATTGGTTTGGACAATATCCAAGAGCTGCTGGAAAATGTGATCCAAGATGGCGTCCCTGGCGATTTTCTGGAGGCGGGAGTTTGGAGAGGTGGCGCTAGTATGTTTGCAAAAGCACTAATGAATTCTTACAACCAACAAAATCGTCACAGTTGGGTTTGCGACTCATTTGAAGGACTTCCACCAGCAACTCAGAATAATGATGATGATCAATGGTCCGAAATGAAAGCTTTAGTCGTGAGCAAAGAAACTGTTAAAGGACATTTCGAAGAATTTTTCTTACTTGATGAAATGGTACATTTTATACAGGGATATTTTATGTACTCATTACCATGTTTGAGAAAAACACTCGCAGAAAAAGATAGGAAAATAGCCATTTTGAGGGCAGATGGAGATATGTACGAAAGTTCAATGGATATTTTGTTCAATCTTTATGAGTTTGTTCCCGTTGGGGGCTACGTCATTATTGATGATTGGTCTATTCCAGTGGCTGTAAAGGCTGTGAACGAGTTCAGGGAAATGCATAACATAAAATCAACAATTGTTCAATTCCGTGGAATATCCGCATACTGGAAAGTGGAATCAAAGATTCCTGTAAAGTACAGCTGGTATGAGGAATTCATGAAAACTAGGAAACTTGATGCATTGAAGAAGCAATGTTAGTTATTACGTACTTTGATGACTTAAATAAGCAATGCATTCTTAAATTGACAACCAAGAGGATGGCTATTATAGATGACAGGGCATGTGCTTATGAGAGTCAAATGTCAAATGATTAGTTTTGACTAACCTTTGAAACCCCCATACTCGTTTCCCAGTTTGATTTTCATAAACACATCATACCTTGGAAATCCAAGATGGGAAACCCCTTGCAAAAATTTCCTTGCAAATCATGTGAAGAAAATTTAAGCACATTACCCAAAACAGCGGATTATATAAAACTGGACTGTAACAAATACCCGGATTTGTTGGTTTTTGAAATAATAATTTTTTGATATCACTTTTTATGCCTGGCATAAGAAAGTGATGTCCCATTTTATGCTGAGCATAAAAAGTGACATCCCATTTTATACTGGTATTATTTAGGAAGTGATGTTTAAGGGTAGTTCAAGATTTAAGACCCATCATTCTGGCACAGATTGCTGAACTATTGTTAGTTAAGAATTCCTAATAGAATTAAGAATTAATAGCTGACATCAAAAAAATATTTTTTTAACAACCAACAAATCTGGGTATTAGTAACAGTCCATTTTTATATAATCCGCTGTTCCAATGACTTGTAGATGATTTGATCCATTCCTAGATTTTTAGTTCTGGCTGACGCCCTCATTGAAAGTCAAGAAACAGGACAATTGTGGTTTAAAATCATCAATAATTCATTGAGTCCTGGGCTTAAATCTTTCATTATATAATCCTCTCACAGGAAGTATTGATCAATCTCCTGATATGACAAACTTGGTAACCTCATTATGTAAAAAGTCATTTCCATTACACAATGTTTGTATTCCAATATACTGGGATTTCATAAAGTCTTCACAATTACAATATAAAGTCTGTGTAAGTGTAAACACGCGGTCCTAACTTCGACCGTTAATTTGAATTTTTGACCTACCGGATGTTTGAAAACCAAGGATTACGAGTCTCATACTGCACCGTTTTTCTTCAAACTTGTTCCATTCAAAGCATAACAAAAATCTCTTTCTGATGGTACATTATTCTCTTAAACGGAGTCCCTACTTCCAGTGGCATTTTGGTCCCCAACTGTGAGAAGGCCTTCTAACAGCTGGGGACCAAAACGCTGCTAGAACGAAGGACTCTTTACAATAAAGTAATGCACCGACAGAAAGGCAATTTTATTTTGCTTTTAATGGTATAAGTTTGAAGAAAAACGGTGCAGTATGAGACTCGCAATCCTTGATTTTCAAGAAATTACATATTATTGTGAAAATGACAAAGTTAAAACAAGTTCAAAGGAACAGGTATAGTATGGCAAATTGTTTTAGTCCTGAGTACTTTCTCAATTAAATAGGACATTTCTCATTAACACAAATATGTTTTTTTAGCATGAAAAGATTGTTCAACAAGGGTCTAAAACTTCTTCGAAACAAGAATGGTATTGAAAGTCTAGTTTTCAATTAGATATTAATTTTCGATGACCAAAAGTATGCTGAAAACAATGAACAGCATGAATTATCCCTACGGGAAAATAACATGGTATGGGATGTGTGGTTTTTAACTTTATCGCATTTCATTACCCATACACTTTTCAGAAGTTATTTATATAGTGTAGAATAAACTTTTGATATATCTAAATTGAGATAAACAAGAGCCCTTTTTTTAGGAAATGAGCCAACAATTTTAAAAAAGTGACAACGTGGGGTCCCAAATCCATAATTTTTCAGAGTGTTGGATTAATATTCTTATCATCATCGGGAGTTAACCTGATATAAGACATATTGTTTAAACAAAAACCACTGCATTTATGGCCAGAAAGTACTCATAGTGAAGGAAATGACTGTCCAAAATCATTTGCCATACTATACCTGGTCCTTTGAAGTATGTTAAACGGTATTCTATTGATGTAATATATCAATCTAGAAACTACTTGTTTGTCCTACAATGGCATCATCGAAAGTAATTCAAAACAATGGAGTATATATTATATAATAGTAATTTTATTTATAGTCATTGAAACAACAGTGCCATTCAATGTTCATTTATCTGACTATGAAGACTGAATAAAGTGTAAAATTTAAGTGTAAGTGTAAAGTGTAAGATTTAGTTTATTTGTATTTTAGAAAGCTGTTTCAAAGTTCTAATGATTTAGAAACTGTAAGCAACGGCTAAAAGGTGCTAGTAGGTAGTTATCAATTTTACCACTAAATTGATAATTTGACCGAGGGGGGGCTATACATTGGCTATATCGGACATGGCGCTTTAAAGCAACATTTTGAAAATGCAATCTTTATAACCGTCGCATAAAAGAAGAAAATACTTTTCATCTTCCACTTCCCCCTAAAAGGGTGATTAACCCCAGAGTTCAAATATGACATACGCCTATAATGTAAACCTGTATTGAGATGACACACCTCTGATTGGTCCAAATCGATAAACAAAAATGGCGGATTCAAAATTTTCTAATAACGCTTCGAATATTATTATGTTGATTCCCGGCGTATAAACCAATATTATAGCTTGGTTTTTCACATCAAGTTAAAGAAATATGTAAGGAATATGTTTACATCGATTGAAACATCACGACGACGCGCTATGTTCGAAAATTAACTGGTGAGAATTTGCGCAAGCGAAGGTGGTACGCAAAAGACGTTTTATGTCAGTCATCGCTAAAGCTCTGGGGCTTTCCCTCCTCTTCTTCCCCCTTATTCAGCAGGAGATCCAAAGGGCAAATTGTGCTTCGGTTAGCGACATTTCTATCTCCGCCGTGGCGTGATATAGTCCCGATTTCTCGGTACACGAGTTCGTAGAAAAATACGACACCTCAAATCAAGAGGCCATAACTCAACCCATAAATTATCAATTTTGATTCAGTTTGAATTTTTAGGATGCCAGATACGAGAGTTGCGATATATAAAGCCATCGTTATGTTTCATAAGGGATAAAATAGTGTATTTGGTGTAGGCCCGACTTGAATATTTTTGGAAGAATTTTCCAAAAAAAAAAATTTTCCGCTAAAAAGTTGGCAGAAATTTGTCTTCAGGGTTTTCAGCACTAACCTTCAGGTGTTCTCGATTATTTTGGATATCTCTGATCTTTTTGTCAGCTTAACTTTTTTAACCCACCTGTAGTTCATGGAGAAAATGATATCGAAAGTGCACTCTCATTTTTCACCCTAAATCGTATGTTTGGCGAGTCATGACCTCATGACGTAAATTCCGGTTTTGAGGTGGAAGTTTTCAAATTGCTGTCGAATATGCCCGAATATGACGACAGTAACAATAATTGGACCCTAAGGTATTGCTGTCTGGTGTATAAAGTATAAGGGAACAAACAGATAACATTGAAGTAAGTATATAACAGGTGCTATCGATAAAAGTGAAGGAACAAGTCGTAAAAGTTCTCTAAAATTATTCCAAGATCGAAGATGGCTTCCAATTTTCTAAGTTGAATTTTGAATGACCAGTTTTGCCATTCCAATCTGAATTATTGTGCTTTTAGAGTATAACTAGATGGTCGATATTACCCTGGGATATTACCCTTATTCTTGATCAACTTAAGACTTTTATGAATCCCGATCTAGACCAAGGGCCAAGCAGAGACATGAAAAACTGTTTTTCATGTCTCTGCATTATTACGGTCTACAACTTGTGGACTGCGATAACTAAGGCTCACCAAGTGTTCTTTCTTTGACTTTTCATCAGGATGATTAAGCTTAAGATTGCTGTCATGTCTGCATTTCACAGTTCAAAATCAACTTGTGTAGTAATTTGACACTGACTTCTAATTTGCCTCATTGACTTATCGTTTCTCAAACATACTTCCAAAAATCAGGAAATAAGGGTGACGAGCGGGGAAATTTTATTGGGAATTTCATTGTGAAAAACTACCGAGTGACAATTTAAACCACAGAGCCAGATCCAGCTCCTATTGGTAGTAGGCTCAAAGGATAAAAAATATTTATTGAGCATAGACACAGAGCAGGTAATCTGGCAGAGGTCCGTGATTTCCTTCAAGTGTAGGGTGACATGACATTTCTTTCTCTGTATTGTCTTTATTATTTTGATTAACTGAAATTGTTATTGTTTATTGGGCATATTTTTCTCATTTTGATGCAAGAAAAGCTCCTGGTAATACTGCTAATACTTATATCTGGCCAGCTTTAGAGAGAGCCAGTTTAATTTAGCTACACTTAATCTTTCAAGCGAAAGAATCAGAGTATGCTTTCACATAATTTCAACAGTTGGTGTGAAACTTTTTCATGTAGTGACATTTATAAAAGCAAGTTGATCTGTGGAATTCATTTTCATATTTTGATCTAGCATCATTGATGAAATATCTCCAGATCTTCTTAAGCCTTTACTAGCAGCTTTCTCATAATTTTAACAGTTGGTGTGAAACTTTTTCATGTTATGAACTGAGTTGAACTCTGGCCAAAAAGCCTTGCTTTTGATGATCTGTGGAATTCATTTTCATATTTTGATCAAGCATCGCTGTAGAAAAATCTCTTAAGCTTTTACTATCAAAAGGTCCAAAATTAACAGACATAAGCAAAAATATTAGAAATGTTTTTCAAATATTCAAATATCCAACCATTTTTCAATAAAAGGTGACATTTTTTAATCATCAAATAGTCCACTTCACCGTTTACAGTGCAAAACACTTTATCTTTGTACCATTGCATTTAATGCATTGTCTTATTAATGTTAGGTATAGGCAATGTTTATAGCCTTTTCAGTCAATTTCACTTTTGAGAAGGGTATTTTTTATATTTTATGGGGAAAATGAACTGAAAATGTCATTAGCCAGAGAGCACAACTGCATTGGCCAAATAGGATGGTAAGTTAGCATTTGAATGAATCTAAATTTCAATATTAGATGCTTTTTTACAGATGCAAAAGGACTATTTCCATGCATAACATATCCAAGAACTGACTGTATACTAAATGCTCTTCACACTTTGATTTTCAGGCAGGCAAAGAGTGGGT